CCACTATTCTAAAATCCTGCTGAACTTCAGTGTGTTTAGTTTTGCTTTACATCTGACTTGACATCTGCTTGTCTTCTTCAGAAGAGTGAGAGTTACAGTGCAAAGGCTTCTCCTAAATTCAGCAGGGGAACACAATATACAGCTAAAACCATGGTAATATGTATTTTTAATTTTTGCTTTGTGATATTGAGAATTATCAAGACTACTCTTCTAATGTAAGAAATAATTCACTTTTAGGAAACTTCTAAATCAAGCCATCTTAAGATTTAGGAGTATAAAAAGGAAGATCAATTAAAAATGCACAAAGCAGCTTTTAAAAATAACTTTTTAATCAAGCAACCCTATCTTTAAAATGTGCTAAAAACGAAACTGCCTTCTCCAAGAACATGCTGTGCACCTGAAAATGTTTTTATTCCCAAGGAATGCATCATCTACAATTAGTAAACTGTATGGATAATTTTTAGATTCCATAGGCTTTCAAAACTCTGAGCATCTTCTTTTGATGTATGGCTGGGATAACAATCATGGTGCTTCTAAATAAGCTTTTTTATTCAGATTTTGATTGGTTTTTAATTTTTAGAAAGCCAAAAAGCCCACCTCTGCTGTGCAATTGTAAAGATGGGAAGAAAGGTAACACCAGTGACCTCCCAACAGCTGTGTCTTGACTTTCTTACTATGTCAGCAAACATAAATGTAAATACCATTTAAATTTAAATTATTCCAATGCAGTATCATTAAATTTAAATAGCCTTCTAATTTCAACAACTTTTTATGATGTTACTACCAAAATCTGCTGGTTTTATCTACCATCATGGAGCTGAACTGTATGAAGGGAGATCAGGGGAAGCTTTGCTGTTACCAAGTCTTTCCCCAAGAAACAAATTTGTGAGGTTAGAAACCAAGGATGCACAGAAACGATTAAAGAAATAATCGACCCAAGGAGTCACAGCAGCAAATCTCAAATGGTGGGAGCTGAGCCATCCTCAGAGTGACTCCCAGACTTTGGTGCTTTGGGACAATCGCCTTTCCTGGGACTTGCTCCTTACCTTTGCACCTCCTTGTTCTTCCACATGGAGGCAGACTGAGCCTTTGGCACGCGTTCAATGGAATTCACCAGCTCTTCCATCAGGAGCCTGACAACAGAAATCAAACCTAAATTAGCTCTGCCTCCTCTCACACAGGAGAGAACTTTGGCCCAAATCTTTCCAAAATACCATAGAAATTGTAATACTCAGAGGGGTTCTTCCCACAGAGGCCACTACCAGCACTGCCCCTGTTTATCCAGGGAGTGTTTCCAATTCCATCTGCTTGCAACAGAGGAGGATCTGGCCCACTGGGTTATGGGCTATTTGGAAAGTGCAAGATAATTTCTTCATTACTGACTGCTTGTGATAAGTAATGAGACAAAACACACAACAAAAACTCCTCAGCTGATGCCTGTTTATCACTTAGGGAATCCAAGCATGCTGTCAGAGTGAACTCTCATCTGCCAAATGCATATTTGAGACAGGAAAAAGGTGTCAAGCGTTAGAAATTGTCACTGCACATTTCTCTGCCCAAAACTAAACAGCATTTGTGATTTTGTGTAGGCTTTCCCTTGAAGTTTGGAGCAGAAGGACAGCATCTGGAATGACTTGGGATGAGGAGAACCACAGCAGTGCAATCTCCCACAAGACTCTGCTTGTTATCTCCAGCTCTGGACCAGCAAAGCCCAGAGGTCTATTACTAGTTCATATTTACACAATTCCTTTCACCTACAAGGGCCTTCAGTTTCTGTTTGTTTTCACACAATGGGGGAATTACTCTGGCATGTGAAGTTTGCACAGGACCTTCCGTGGACAAAGATTCCTGCACTAAAGTGCACACAGAGATAGGAGGGCCTAATCTGGTTCCTAATTACTGAATATAGCAGCTCTGCAGGAGAGAGGAACAGAGCTCAGTTCCAGTTAGGCCTCACCAAACCTGCAGCATTTGGTGTTGACCCATCCAATCAACAAGACAATTTTGTAAAAATAAACTGGCAAGTTTGGTGACTGTTCTGGTTTTGACTGCCCTGTCATATCTTTTTCTACCTCAGTCTCCTATTTTTGCCATTTTTCTTAGTGCTTCTCTCCGGAGTTCCGAGCTCAGGTAGCTCAGCTGTCATTTGAGATGAAGTCAGCCTGAATTCCTTTCTGTGGAGTGGAGGAAAGTGTGATTATATGGAATCATAAAATCCCAGAATGGTTTGAGTTGGAAGGGACCTTGAAGATCATTTAGTTCCAACACCTGCCATGGCCAGGGACACCTTGCACTAGACCTGGTTGCTCTAAGTCCTGTCCAACCTGGTCTTGAACACTTCCAGGGATGGGGCAGATTCTGGGGAGAACAAGTCCAGTTTTCTGATTGGGAAGACTCCTTTTGGTTAAGGGGAACAGAGAAGAGAAGGAGAATTCTTTGATCCGTAGTTTTTGAAGGTCTGAAGTTGCCTATAAGGCAATTACTGAGGTGTCTCAGCCCACTCAAATTCCACTGTCCCACATCTATGGCCTGGACTCAACGCAAAGCACCTGCTGGAAAGGTTGATGGTTCCAGAGGTTGGGAAACATGGAGTTAACACATTTGCAGCACTAAGGACTTGGCTGGCATTCAACTCCTGCCTGAAAGCCTCTTCAGAACATTAGACACCACTCCTCTCCCCACATTGTCCTTTACACCTTCTCCTCAGCAGTGATGAAAGAGGAGCAGAGAATCTGAAGGGGCTTTTTACCTGCCAATTTGAACAGTGGGCTCGGTGGCATAAACTGTTCCAGTGAATCCTGTGTACTCCGTGATGTAGGGCAGTGCCATCATGCAGTGATAGTTGGAGATCAAGATTACATCCACTGTGGAGAGGTCAAGCAGTTCAGTCTGAAAACAGAGCAGAGATAAGCAACTTGTAACCCTTTCATGCAGTTTAATAAATGGCAGAAAAAAATTTTCTTTAATTTTTTTAAACTTTATTGCAGGAAGGTTTATAAAAGCATGTCTCAGCTGTGGCAAAAAATAATGTTGCTTTTAAATTAACAAGATTTATTTAAAAAGCCCCCTAAAATTATTCCATTCTCCAACGTGGAAAGGAAAACCATGTCCTGGGTTTTTCTTCAGGTGATGAAATGGCTGCTGTTATGAGATCCATGATTATTTTACTTTTATCAAAGAATTTATGTGTGTACCTCCTTAGGGAGGAATAGACACCAAAACTTCTGCAACAGTGATTTAGGGTGTCTCATTTTTTTTATGCAGCACATTATACTGTACCCCAAGGAAGAGATGAGCAAAGATAATTTATTAATATGCTTAAAAATAATCCTCATATTTTCCCAAAGTAAATGCTTGGCATCTTTCTCATTCACGTTTTCTACAGCAGGAGATGAAGCCCATTCACAGGATACAACAAAATGGATGGGTGGGCCCAATTAGTTTTGATGTGACAGTTTAGACAAGAGTTCTGAGAGTGAAAGAAGATTTCACACATTGTTAAAAGAATTTTAATTAGAAATATTTACTGGTAATGCTACAACATGAATGGTGTCAAGTCAGAAATTTACGAGATGACTGACCTCTAACTCAGTTATTATAGAGCAGCTAATGGAATTCAACACTCATCAAGCACATATTATCTGATTACAAGGCTTGGTCCAGCGATTTGAATAAAAAAGGCAAGAAAGTAGGTCACTCTGCTTTGCAGAGGGCTGACACAGTGCTCTGGTGACAAGCTGCTTAACTCCTCCTAAGCACTCATGGTTTCAATCCATGATCAGCAATGATCTGAACTGACAACAGGAGGTAAACACCACCCCCAGCTCCATGACAAGGCACCTTTTATCTTCCTAGGCTTCCAGGCAGGAACACACTCCCTGCAAGGTATCAAAGGGTCTGCTGATACCTGCTCCTGCCAAAGCTTGGATTGTCCACACCTTGGTTTTCAGCTGTGTCCAGACTGTACAGGATCAAATTTTGGGTGGGAAAGCTCTTAAAGACCAATCTGTTCCACCCAGGGACACCCTCCACTATCCCAGGTTGCTCCAAGCCCTGTCCAGCCTGGCCTTGGACAGCCACAGCTTCTCTGGACTCCCTATGCCAGAGCCTCCCCACCCTCACAGCCAGGAATTCCTTCCCAATATCCCACCCATCCCTGCCCTCTGGCAGTGGGAAGCCATTCCTTGTGTCCTGTCCTTGCACATCCCTTATCCCAAGTCCCTCTCCAACTCTCCTGGAGCCCCTTTAGGCCCTGGAAGGGGCTCTGAGCTCTCCCTGGAGCCTTCTTTTCTCCAGGTGAGCACCCCCAGCTCTCCCAGCCTGGCTCCAGAGCAGAGGGGCTCCAGCCCTGAGCTGAATGCCAGCCCAGGAGAGCCATCAGGATACACACCAGCACTTTCCAACCTTAATCATGCCACATCTCAGCGCACCCTAGAAGCATTTACTGATAGGATGAAAAGGGTGTCAAAACCAAAACAAAGTGAAATCTTCCCTGGGGCTCCTAGCAATCTCACTAAAGTGCCTTTAAGCTGAAGAAGCTTAAAAATGTTTCTTGCATGTGAAGGAGAGAGCAGAAGGTTGCCAAGCAAAGAGAGGGCTGCACCCTGCACTCTGACATGTGTGAGAGTACTCTGCTGCTCAGACAGCCTCATATCACCTTGTGGCTGCTGGATTAGACCCAAATCTTGGCTTACTTTGGCAATGGTGTTCTGGAAGCGATACAGAGATTCTCTGGCTAGCTGCTTCTGCAGACAAGTTTCTTCAAAAGAAGTGGCATGGAAGGAGATAAAGTAAAAGCCTCTTTCACACAAGCTCCCTCTTACCCTGTGTTGCCAAAAAGCAGCAACATTTCCACTCTGTTTGCAGCTGGCCATAACTCCAGAACCTCTTGCAGATAGGTAGACTCAAGGTGTGAGCTGGGTATCACAGCAGATCTCTTCCCAGTGCCCATGGAGGAGATGTGGCATCAGCTGGGAATTTTGGGAAGCATATGAGAAGCCATTTTTAAAGTCCCTGCAATGGCAATGTGCCGTTGGTTGCCATCTTCTGGTTGTAGGATGGGCTGCTGGGAAGCAGCTTCGTGCAGTGGTTAACAGGAGTAAGATGAAGCAGTGACTCCCTGTCTGTCATATTTAGAGCTACACATGTGGGTATTTTCCAGCCCAAAGTAACCAGAAAGTCTGGCTGAAGTACCCTAAACCCCAGCAGATAATCACTCCAAAAAGAATCCAGCACATAAACCCTGTCCTTCCCAAGATCTGGGCCATAGTGGCACCTTCTACACACACACAGATGCTTCCCACATGCCTCAGTTTCACAGGATGGTAACCAAAAGGCTCACAGGAACCCAGAATTATTAGGGGTTTGGGCTGGTCATTTTTGATGTGATTGGATTATGACAATTTCAGCTGAGTTGGAATGGTTGTAATCTGTTGGACCCACTTGCCAAAACCAGTACCAGAGCTGCCAACTTGTTTGGAAAAATCAAGAGTGATGCCAGAGGTGAGTTCCATGGGATTCACACATGAGAACAATATTGCCAGAACCTCAGCAGGGTGACAGCAACCTGTAAAATCTGCCCAAAAGCAATCGTGTCTGTCTTTGAAAGACAGAGAAAACATCCCACCATGAAATGAAAGAACAGATGTTATCACATTCTGAAAACACTGAGGAAAGGGATACTATTCCCATGCTACTCTCCATCATTCATCCCCACCTCTCTCTACTCAGCTTTTTATATCTTTATTTCTGCTACAGCACTCTCCATATCCACTGGGTGATTCTAGATAATCCAAACATCTTCAATGGTCTTGCTTTTTCTAAATCCAGAAATTCCACTAAAACCAGCTTGAGCAGCCACTTGCAGCCATGCCTGCGGATATGAAGGCCCAGCTCTTCCCTCAAAGAGGCTGTAAAAGTTTTTAACCTGAAAGTGCTGCTGGCAGAAGTGCAGCCAGCAGAATCCAACCTGGCTTAACCACAGCTGGCTCCCTAGGGAGCTCCAGTGGCACGTCCTGCATCTGTGGTTAGAGACAAGCAGCTTTCCTCACCTTCATGCCCTGCCCTCATCTAGATCAGCACATGGATCCTGTCAGCCCAGCTCAATCTGGTTGTCTTTGCAAAGCCACAAAAAGGGACAGTTCAGTCTTATTCATGTGTCAGGTATTTGCTCAAGGAGACCTTCCATGTCTCCCAAAACCACGGCTGAAAAGGGTTGCTTCCATCCTTTTTCCAATGCCATAGATCCTGAAAGCACCTTAACAACAGAGTTTTACCAGTATTATTTACGGAGCATTAACAAATTAGCAGGAACCTGGTAGTAATAATAATAATAATAATAATAATAATAATAATAATAATAATAATAATAAACAGGTTTATCACATGTGATTGAATGAAGTCAGATTTTTCAGTAAGGCTTTGAACAAACTCACCTCTGGCAAGCAGAACTCAGGCACAGAGTCTACAAACACGTGGCCAGAGCACTCCTTCAGCTCCTATAAAAAAACACACCAACAGAAGAGACACAAAAATACAACACAGAGTTATCCAAGGCAGTGCATTTTGGATTTTCCAGACACTTTCTTTATCACAGGTAATTTCCAGCCCATTATACAGGACATTTATCCCCCTTCTAGACACAATTTGGTGCAGGCAGATGTGCTGAAATTGCTTCCATGCCAGATGAGGCTGCTTGGTACCTGAAGGGATCAAATCCTCCTAGGGAAGGACAGAGAGAGCACTCTGGTAGGTAAAGAAAGAGCCCTGGTAATGACCAGGAAGGCAAGTTTGGTTCTAAATAACATCCAACCTCTTCTGCCTTACTAGAACTAAATACAATTTATAGCCCCTGTCTCAGAGTATTTGATAAAACAACTTTTGGGGATCTAATTTCCACATGGCACATTTTGTTAAACTCTATCCCAAATTTTCTTCCTCTTTTTCAAGGCTGGAATAAAAAACTTTTGTCACATGAAAAGTCACATTCTTCAGAGTGGAACAAAAACATTTCCAATTTTACTCATAGTACAACTCACAGGTTCCCTACCACCCACCCTGCCTTCTCTCCTGTCCCAAGCAAGTGGTCTCAGCCAGCTTCAGACTGACAGAATTAAAGATTGAATCCAATTTTTAATAATTACAGTGCACCTGCCAACTAATAACAAATGAGCAATTACATCTAGTGGCAGAAGTCTCCTAACCTCATCTCAAGGGAGTTCAAAATGATTAAAAGTAGATCACAGCACATTTCAGTGCCTCTCCAGGACTGAAGTTTTAAAACTGAGTGCTGTAACAGGAATGTCCACTTCACATGATAAAACACCCCCCTTTGACTCCTTCTCTTGCCTTTTTCCAGCATGGGTCAAAGAATTTACCATTCCAAGCACTTACAATGGTCAAGGTGAAGTTAAGAGATGCTGCCTTTGAATTTTTAGCACAATTCCCATTGCCAGTGTGTGAGTCTGGAGGTTTCTCCTGAACACACACTGCAGCAGCAGCATCCCAGAAATTTAAATATATTCCAAATAAAACTACAGTGACAGTCTGTCCATTCTTTGGAGCCCAAAGTTCTGACACCAAAGCTGGGGTTTAGGAGACACAAATTCCAGGGAATTCAAACTGAGCAACTCCATTTCTGAGCCTCTGCAGCCCTGCAACTGCCAGTTAGCAAGTGTTCTGAATAGAGCCGTTACTATTTTACCAAGAGAAATGCTGCCTGCACAGTTTCTTTTGTCTCCAATGAGAAGAAAAATCGGGTCTTTAATCTATGATCTTCAGCTCCCTTGTCTGTAAAAATCAGATCAATCCATTTTGTCCACCTCAAAGTCCCCTACAAAAGCAACTATTATCACTGTTTGCTTTAATGTTCCCATAGTCAGAGAACAGTCTATTAAGCATTTTCTCCACTGGTACCTATGCTGCCCACATTTGAAATGTATCTGCCTATTTTACCAACATCTGACATATTTTTGTGTTCATTGTTCCCCTACGGCAGATCAAGCTGGCTGCTGCAGTGCCAAGTTTTGGTTGAAGCCTCAGATAGATTCTGCCTCCAAAACTGCAATGAAAAGAGGGGGAAAAAAGAGCAATTCTGTGTCTCTCATGTTGCTGAGGAAGTTCTGTGTGTCTTAGAATCAGGAGGCTGGAGATAATATCCTCCCTGCTATGTCCAGCAGGAGAACACACGTTGATTTCAGAGGCCAAAGCCATGCTTTTCCTCTCTGAGAGACCTCCCATAGGCAAACCATTGCCTTCCTCATAGTTCTGCCTGAAAAAGGGTATGAAACCAACCTCATTTATAGGCATGCTCTGAAGCCTCAGTGTCAGAAAAGTGAGACTGTGGAATAAAAGGCACTCTAAGAAGGCGAAGTACTATTATTTATGGAGCTCCATGAAATACAAAAATATTCACACTGACAACTTGTGCATTTTAAGCGGATTTTTTTATAATCTAGGCTACCTCTGAAGCCTGAGAGTTGCTATTAGCATTTTGTTTCAAAATGTTCTGCTCTGCAAGGACATCGTGGCTGGTAGAGGAACACAGAGAAACCTTTGGGATGAGTCAGCGTGGAACGCTGCTCCTTGTAGCACCAACTCTCAACCTGTCAGGTGGCTTTTTGCATGGCAAGAAAATTCCAAGCATCACTCCAGTACCTTGTCCAGAAACATGCTTCCATCTTTCAAAACCCAACCAGGAAGTTTGGACAGCCTGGGGCTGCGGAAAGAAAGAAGAAAAATTATTTCAATATGAACTGTATTATTATCAGTGGCTAAGCACAGACCTTCTACTTGGTGTCATACAGGCAGAGAACACCATTCCTGTCTCAGGAAAGTAACAGTCCCAATAAAACAGACAGACAGTTTCACTGTGGTTAAGTGTTCACCAAAATGACTTTTACAAATCATGATTATGACACTTATAAGTAAAAATAAATCAGAGGACAAGGCAGGCAGGGAGTTTTTAAGTCATTTATGGTGAGGATTTTAAAAAGGCTCAGTGCTGCTGAGTTCCCTGTGGCGAAAGTGGATGAATAAACAGAAGTTAGGGCAACAACAAACTCTGTGCTCGAAACAACACAAAAGCACCATAAAACTGTTCTGGGACAGAGGACAGCAGACAAATATTCCCATCAGCAGTAGCAGGGAAAGACTGATGCTCTGGACTAAGTCATTTATAGACACAGGTTGGGATTTTATACACACATAAACCATGGTTTCGTGCCTGAGAGTCACCCTGAAGACCCACACCAAGAGCTGCACAGGATACAGGGGCAAGGAGGCTTTGCTGTGAACTGCAGGTTCTTAAGCAATAGCAGAGCCCCTTTTTTCATTGTTTCAAACAAAGAAAAAGAAATTTAATAGGTAGAGATTGTAATTCTGAGTTTGCAGCAGTAATGGCTGCAGCATTTCTTGCTATTGTAACTGAAAGACTTATTGTATTTCACAGTGGCATCTGATTTTTGTATGAGTCTACAGCTTAGCTCTAAACACACTCTCTGCCCAGACTGAAGTTTATTTACACAAATAAAAAAAAAATGAATAAACAAGAGAACTGAACTCACCTGAAACCAAACCCTGTAAGAACTTCAGATTTGGATACAGAGCCTGGTTGCAATGCACTTTGCAAGTGCTGCGCACTAAGCTCTACAGACAGGCATGTTTATATCCTAAAAGCACTTTCAAATTCAACATCTTGAAAATAGGAAGTGATCCAAGGGCTCATAGGAATGCTGTGTTCAGACTAACAGCAATATAAAAGAACAAATTCTGACACCCCAGTAAGTCACAAGGAGGGAAAAAGGGGAAATCCAAGAGTCAAGGAGTGAAGACAGAAGGTAAGAGATGACAGCAGAAGGATCTGTCATGGAGGAGCAGTGCCAGAAGAAGGGCAATTCCCTTCTGAGGATAAAGAGCAAGGCTGAAGAAGTCTGATGATAGAAAAGATGAAGTGACTAAAAGTACTGCCCAGTGGATTGCTCAAAAGCACAACTTAGGAGCAGTAATTTGGAAACTGAGGGGGTTGAGTAGAATTGGTGCAGTCAGTCTAAAAGAGTCATGGAAAAAGCAAGAACAAACCACTCTGATATGCAAAAACTCTGACAGATACAGGAAGATAAGACAGGAACCTTGGCTAGAAGGGCCACCTGGAGGGCTGCAGTTCAATGTCTCAACACCAGCACAGGTCAGTGGCTTGTGCCTTGCAAATCCCTGCATTCATGTATGGTTTCAGCAGCATGAGGCAGAGCAGAATAAACTTTACTTGTCCTACTCCCCATAATTTAACCTTGCAAGAGTTTTGCTTTATTCATGATGAAAGAACACTAAGCTTGTACTTAACTGGCATCCACTGAGGAGTGAAGAGTCAGGGGAGGCAAAATGAGCAGGTGTGTCCTGTGTGTGGCTGAAAGCAGAACAAGCAACACAGGACAGAAAGGACTCTTTGCCTTGAAGCCAAGAAGCAACACAGCTCCTCCTGACATCGCTTTGACATTGTAATAGAGTGATTGATTAATCCAAAATAGCTGGAACTGTCCCATAAATAATGTGAGCAAGTGTGTCATGGCTAGACAGGAAAGGTTAAGAGCTTCCCACATGTTCATTTTACCGTTTTGCATTTGACTTTGGTACAGGGGAGAAAACTCCAGTTGACAAACCTCCTTTAAAGTATGGGAGCATAAAGAGCTGGGCAGCTGCAGGTGCTCTGCACGTGCTCCATGGGCTGGTGAGAACAAGGAATGCCATTTCCAGGGCAAGGGGGAATCTAAATACCTTTGCACTGGCATTTCTTTGAAGAGCAAAGAACTCTAAAAAATGCCCAGTCCCTTTAATGTCACAAACACTGCAGCACTTTCCTCTCTTATAGATTAGAGCACAGGCTCTCAAAATATTTGCTCAAGGAGGGTCCCATGCCAGGTACGACACAGGATTGAGCTGTGTAGCAAAGATCCTCTGTAATATCACACATTTGGGCAGCTTTGCAGACCACATGCTGAGATTTGCAGAATCCAAAGGGTTCATGAATCCTGCTGGAATATCTGGCTAAAGACAGCAGAGAGAAGCATGGCTGCTCCTGGGTTAAGGTCTCACTCACATCCATCTCCAGTAAGCACATCTGGTTCTGAGAGGATACAGCTGGAGAGAACACCAGATCTGACAGGCCTGTGTTCAAATCCCTCAGGCAGTCAGTCCTTCCTGTCACCTTACCTGGCATCTGATGACAATGTCAGCTCTCTGTCATTCCATGTTATGTTGATAACACACATTTGAATTTCAGAGGTGTTTGGACATCATGGTAATGGACTCCTCATCTCTAGTGGTACAACTATGAGTAGTACAGAGATAAGGACTTTGCAGTGGCAGCCACATTCCTCCTCACATTTCTGACTTATTTCCACAACTCTCTGCAGGACACCTGGTTTGCAGAGGAGATCAATTACTTGCCCAAGTCCATGTACTAGGGCCAATCCTTGCTCTAAGGGGTGTTCAGTCACCTCACCGACAAGATTGATTGGATTTAAATCCAAATGTTTGCTCCGATTCCACTGGGCCATCAGGGGTCAAATCTGACATCCTCTCTTATTGAGTTTGAGTCATTTTAGTGCCGACATTCTGGAAGTGCTTGGGGAATTCCAGGTTGTGACCTGCAATTTGGCTGTTCATTCCCAGGGTCTGCTATCAGCAGACAAAGCTGCCACATCCCAGGGGAAAGCTGATTCCTGCTGCTCTAAAGAACCTCTTAAGCCTTTGTTCGATCACCTCATTTTGCTACTTCTTCCTCTCTCAATTTCCTTTTTCTTTGGGGGGGGGGGTGGAAGAAAGCAAATGCAAGGCAATTCTGTCTGTACCTGAATTTCCAAAATTTGCTGGATCTGTTCAAAATCTATTACTGCACCACTTGGTGAAGTGACCAGTTGCACTGTGGAATGGGACAAAAATTAACTTTCACACTGATCCCTCTGAGGGCATCTGTTGCCTCTCTACAGCAGATCCTGAACTCCACATTCTTGCAGAACAATGCACACATTGTCTATTCCTTTCCTCTACTTTCCAAAAAATAAAAAATCATAGGAAGTGCTGGACAACCTGCTTTAACCTCACTAAGTCACTTAGGAAACTCCCTTTTCCAATCGTATTTTCCCCCTCTCTCAATCAAGACTTCCCTGTATCCAGAATGTTCCTCACTTATTTCCTTGTGGATCAAAGTTACTAAACGGCTTTTGAGAAAACTCCTGCTCCTTCCCATCACTGCGAGTGACTCATTCCCACCTTTCCAACTGCTAATTTTTGTCATTTATTCCATTTACACAAAACATGTCACCCTAACTTACTAGCCAAATTAGTCTAAAAACCTGGGGAAATACAACTTCATAGCAGGGCACAGAAAGGAGATCTCAGGATTCTGGTCTAGATTCTATTTCTGTTTCCCTGCTGTTCCTCCCAGGCTCAGCAGCACTGCCCTTTTATTTATTTAACTTTTAAAAGGGAACAATTATGCCATGTAGGCAACTAACAAGGGCTGCTAAGTGCTATTTTTCTTTGCATTAGTCCATGCTCTGAAGAACAGCCTGAGAAGATGGTGGTTAAACAGGACTTGCTGGGCTCCACGCGCTCCATCTCAGTTACCCATTTATCTCATCTTGCATGAAGAAGCCAGAAAGATGACAGATATGTGACCTCACTTGTGCTGAGCAGTTGCAGCAATACTTTACTGAAGCTTAGAATAAATTATCTAGAAAAACCAATCAATAAATCCATAAAATGTCTTCCGTCTACTGAGCCAAAGGACGTTATTTTGATAAAGAGAATTTTTAAGTGAACAAAGTCTATTTATGATATCAGATGATGCTGTTCATTTGTACCCATTCCCTCCCTCCTTCCAATAACCATTTCAGGCACAGCACTCCAACTGCAACCCAAGAAGATGCAGACTAAGTGCTGACAGGCCACAGAACTCACCTCTGGACCAGAGGCAGCGGGAGGAAATTGAGGGTAGACGTCATATCCAGCCCACAGTCCAGCATGATGGTGGTGGATTTGAACTTGAGCACATTGCATGGCAAGGTTGGATGCCCTGACAGGCAGTACTGGAAGAAGAATGAGGAGGAGTTACTCAGGACCTTTCAGAACATGACCCTTCCCTGTGTGCTGGGCACTGGTGAAGCCACACCTTGAATCCTGTGTCCAGCTCTGGGCTCCTCACTGCAAGGACATTGAGAGGCTGGAGCGTGTCCAGGGAAGGGAACGGAGCTGGGGAAGGGTCTGGAGCACCAGGAGAAGCTGAGGGAGCTGGAAAGGGGCTCAGCCTCGAGAAAAGGAGGATCAGGAGGGACCTTGTGGCTCTGCACAACCCCTGACAGGAGGGGGCAGCTGGGAGGGTCGGGCTCTGCTCCCAGGGAACAGGGACAGGATGAGAGGAAACTGCCTCAAATTGTGCCAGGGAAGGTTCAGGTTGGACATCAGGAGGAATTTCTTCATGGAAAGGAAGAAGGGGCTGCCCAGGGAGTTTTGGAGACCCCCATCCCTGGAGGTGTCCAAGAAATGACCGGATGTGGCACTCAGTGACAAGGTGGGGTCACTTACAGGCTGGACTCAATCTTGGAGGTCTTTGTCAACCTCAGTGATTCTGTGAACAATTCATAAACTGCCTTTCCCCCCTTGTTTTTAAACACAGTTCCTTACACACCTAAATAAAACATAAATTCCCATGAATCTGTCTCCCACAGCTGTGTGTATTCACTGAGATTTCCCCATGTCAGGGTATTAAGGAGCAGATTTTCTTCAGACAGTTTTTCTGATCCCAAGGGTTGAATGGATGGCAAAGCTCTTGCCTCTGATTTAGGACACATGCAGAATATCTTTTTTTCTTGCAATCACCTATTTCCCCAAAAACCCAGGAAATCAGCTTCTTACAAACTCAGCCCCCCCGGAAAACTTGGCTAGAAAATTTGAAAATTACTCGAGTGAGGTGGACAGGGAGACAGAGAAGCCCTGCAGGAACACAATATTTATTTTGGTAAGAAATCTGCCCCAACAACCCCTGCACAGGTGCAGCAGCTCTGGGGCAAGTTCTCACCTGCTTTTTGTCCTGCTAAACACAAACAGGAAACAGGAGGGACTGGGCAGCTCCACCTGAATGGAAGGGTTTGTGTATCCAAATCCCAAAGGCTTTGCAAGCTTAATGAGCCGGTGAGCAGGTGATGTAGGGGGCACTTGAGCATCATTGAGATGCAGCCACCTCCTGTCTGGAGTGACAAACATTTAAATGCTCTGAGGGAGAGCAGAACAGAAAGGTCGGCTTTAAAATGTGGGATTAGAGACAAATGTCTGAGCAGAGCGTGGCCACCTCTGCGGGAGGGTTCCTCTGCTCCGAGGAGGGATTTTGCATCTTCGGTCTCCCAAGTCTGGGCATCTGGCAGCACAGCCACGCTCAGGTGGTCAAACTGGAGCTTTTAACTTCAAGTTTTTGTCAATGAAGATGAAAAATACCGCTTGTTTGGCCGTACACTGCACTAAAAACAGACTAAGTAATTTATCCCTTAAGCTTGTGTTCTATACTTCCCTCTACCAAGTGGAAAAAGGGAGATTAATAATTTCATTTTCTACCTCTGGTCACAATAATGTTAACACAGGACTGCAACTGTCTGGATTAACAACCCTCAAGAAGTCTATTTACATACATTCCTCAAAAACCTGCTTTAAACTCTATTTAAATAGTAAAACTGACTAAGCCTCAAATATTAAATTCAAAATATCACAGAGAGTTTTGCTTTAAATTCACAAAGCCTTAATTATTAAGGAGTTACATTACATTTTGTCTTTTAGTAAAGTTTAAAAAAATATGTAAAGCCAAGCTGCTGAAGGAGTGAGGAATTCACTTGGTTTATTCACAAATGTAACACTCTCATGTGAAATTAAGTTCTCACCAGACCAGAACTTTGACAAATGAAGCTATAAATTGAAGTAAATAGAAAGAAATGAAGGGAAAAATAAGTTCTATTTTTGTAGCTTTTAAACTATTGGTAATTAAAAAAGGCAATGAAATATCACCACTTTTATCAGCAAAATATTTTCTTGCCTTTTTTTGTAATCATGAGTAGTATTACTACCTGACATCTATGACCTAACTGGAAAATCTTTCTTTTTTCCTTCTTTAAAAGCAGCTAAAGTCATCTCTCTCCGTGGCTGTCTGCTGAGGCAAATGGATTCCTGGGAGTCAATGGATTCTTTCTACCAGATTCAAAGACAGTGACAGAAAAATAAAAAAGGCAATTTGTATTTTCTATACAGCTGTTTGCACAAGTGACATTGCTGGGCCTGCACCCCTGTTAGACTTTTGGATCAGGAATCCAGGAATGGAAGTGTTTGCACAATGTGTGTCTCTATACACATTATAAATGTGATAATTTCCACACAGTTTATACTTGTTACTATTTAAAACAGATCCAGAGCTTTCATATTCCTGACTGGATTAAAATGCAAGTTTTTTATTCCAAGATTTGCTTGCTTCTAGCTTGATTCCCTTATGGCTAAAGGCTGGTGCAGCCAACACACAAAGGTGCCTCATCTCCTAACTCCAAAAGTTAAAAAAAGACACAAAATACGTAAAAGGCATAAATATACCCAGCTCACAGCTTTCCTGGCAGGATTTGCAAATTGGATGAAAGTTTGGCAGTGGGGCAGTGGTTGAGGGGCTGGTTCCAGATGCTCAGGGCCTGGGAGGGGCAGGTTCTCCACACACATCCCATTCCATGTGCATCTCATGGAGAGCAGAGAGATGGTGCCTCAAACTTGCAGCTCCAAAACATTCAGAGTTGTGCAGGTTAAAGGCAGAGCTTGGAACTCCAAGTGAAGCAAACAAATCCTGCAGTGCATTCCTCCAGTATTAGTATCACATGCCAGCTTAAAATCTGGGGGGAAATGAGCACTGAGGATTGCCTGAGTGAAAGCACATTTGAGTTTGTGGGAGTCTGAGGTTTTCACCAGATTCTGAATCAGATCTGCAATCAGAATCCCAGAATGGTTTGGGTTAGAAGGGACCTTGAAGCTCATCTTATCCCAACCCCTCTGCCATGGACAGGGAACATTCCACTAGTCCCTCACCTCTACCCTGTTCTTCCAAATTCAACCCAAATCTATGAGAAAAGAGGATAAAGAGAGGATAAAAAAGAGGACTTGTCTCCTCACAACCCCAAATTCAGACACATCTCCAGAAAAATATAAGGTAAAATACCTTGTCTTATAATTCTCAGTACCTGAATTTAAAAACAATGCTAAAAATGTTGCAATACAGACTCCAGAGTTTGTATTTCCCCTCTCTACCCCTATGCAAGACTCTCAACATTAAAAGAGCTCTCCATTTACAGTGGGGTCTTTAAATAAAGATTTCCCAGTTTGCTTTCTTCCACTGAATTCTATCAGCCTCTACAATCACATCCAGGGGTGCTTGACTTTGCAGTTTTTGTCCCACTGGTAACAGCCATCCCTGCACAGATCCTTATCACACAGGTAAGATTAAGCAGGATCAAACTCCTTGACCACCTGCCTCTGGAATTAATTGTACACACTTCCACGGAGAGTGGTTTCCTAAAGGTCTTAAACCAGAACATTTACTTCTATGAAGCTTTGTTATAACACACTGCTCAGTCTCAAAACCAAGAGACAATCTTAAATTGAGTAATGGTGTCGCTTCAGATTAAATAAATCAAGTGTTGTGCTCAGGTATGTTGAAAACTGCTTGGGTTTTCACCTCCAGACCAAGAAGTGCAGCACATTATGTGTAACTGAAATTCTTCCTGGAAAAAAAATCGGCTCCTGAATCCAAGGTCTCCAAGAAAGTGAAACAGCTCAAGAGAGGAGACCAATATCATGGGTCATGTACATTCTGACAGAAGACTGTAATATCAGAACCAAAACCCCTGTCAGAAGCAAGGTGCACCCTTAGCAAAGCTGTTCCAGGCTGATTTTTTTTGTTGTTGTCGTTAGTACCTCCCTGTATTATCACACTGCAGATGGAAAACGTCTTCATCACAAACAACAGGCATTTATTCACGTTCCTCGCAGAGTCCAGCAGAAGCCACAAGTGCAAGGGGACAGCTCCGAACCAGACTCATGTTTAAGGCTGGGAAGGCTGAGAAACATTTTCTCCTCCTCTTACTAAGATTTGATCCTATCCAACACCTTAAACTTGGGCAACGCCCCCCCCCTTACCCTCCCCACTCAGGGCCGACCCCCGCCTTCCCCCACACCTCAGGGCCGACCCCCGCCCCTCCCTCAGCCCCTCCCCGCCCCACTATCACCCCCTTATCCCTCAGTCCCCCCAACTCCCTCAGCATCTCCTCCCCCACCTTTTCCCTCAGGCCCCACTCCAGCGCCTCAGTTTCCCCTCACGCCCGGCGAGGCTGAGACTGCGCAGCCAGGAGGCGACCGGGGGAGCCCCCCCCCCGCCGCCGGCGGAAGGCCGAGCCCCCTCCCCGCCCTCATGGCCGCCCGCCCCGGGCACTCACCAGCTTCATCGCGTCCACCGGTTCTATTTACCGGGACAACCCTGCCCGCCTTCCTGCCCGCCCGCCCCGCCGGCCCCGGGGCATCATGGGAGTTGTAGTCCCGCCTCCCCATCGTTCTCAGATAACGTCATGGCCGCCCGACGCCTGCCGGGAGTTGTAGTCCGCCCCGAGCGCAGCCCCGCCGCCCCATTGGCGCGCCGCGCGCCCGCGGCTCTCTGGGAGTTGTAGTCCCGGCGCCGCGGGTCTCCCCGTCACCCTGGGGAGGGGGGAACTACAAGTCCCAGGGTCTCACAGCTGCAGCAGGTGGGGGCTCGGATGTTGATATCAACATGGCGCTTGTCAGACAGACAAAGACAGTCGGTCTGGTGTGATTGAGCCAAAAAAAAAAAAAAAAAAAAAAAAAAGCCCAAAAAAAAAGAGAGGGAGCGGGCGAGGAGGAGGGAGCGGCAGGAGGAGCGCCGGGCGGGGAGGGGGCTGTGTCCTCGGGGGGCGTGGGGGGGCTGAGGGATTTCCTCCCCCCTATTGTTCTCGTCCCTCCGCGCCCCCCGTTAATCTCCCCTCAATCTGGGGCGGGGGCGGGCGGGGGGACCCCCCCAGTTCCGCCGGTCCATGGTGAGGCGGAGGCGCCGGCAGCACCCAGAGGTGAGTGTCGCGGGGGGATACGGGGGGGGGAGCGGCGGCGAGGGGAGGGGGCGGGCGGGTGGGTGGGCTGGAGGGAGGCAGGGCAGCGGGAAGGGGTCTCCCCTCCGCCGGCACCGCCGGGAGTCGCGCCGAGCCGGAGAGCGGGATGTGCGGGGGGCAGCCGGGGGCGGGCAGGGGTGGGCAGGGGCAGCCCCTCAGCACGGGCGGCAGAGTTGGAGCCGCGGCTTTTGGGGGGCTCCGCGGGTGCCCCGGATCGGGGGAGGAGGAGGAGGAGGAGGAAGGTGTCCCCAGGAGGCTGCAGCGGGAGGGCAGGGCGCCTTTGGGGTTCGCTGCTCCTGCCATTTGTATATCTATTCCGATTCCTCCCATCTCCCCGGTGTGGGGCACGGAGTGGCGGCCGCGGAGCCCCCTCAGCCTGGGTGGGTGCTGCGGTTTTGGGGGTGTTTGTTCGGGTGTTGCTCGCCGCGGAGTTTTGGGGTGAGCTGGTGCGACCCCCGGCGCTGTCTGTCCCGGGGACCCCCGGGGACGGCAGGGGAAGGAGGGAGGCTCCGATCGGGGATGGAGCCGGCTACGGAGCCCCCTCGCTCTGCCGGGGAGCTCTGCCCTGGCTGGGGCTGTTCGAGGGCTCCGGGGGCTCCTTTTCGGCTGCTTTTCGGGAGCTTTGTGCCGCTGGAGGTCGGGGAACGGGGCTCAGAGGTGCCCCAAACCCTGCCGTTCCCAGGCTTCGGGAGGTTTTCTGGGAGGGCAAAGGCGTGAAACCCCCGAAAGGTGTCTGTGTGCCGGAGAGTTTAACGTGGGAACGGGTGGGGGAGGAGGAGCACCCGGAGGAAAGTCATTCCCAAAATGTGCGAGGAGAACTTGGGTGGGGTGTCAGACGCTTGTTTGTTTTGTACTTCTTGGGAAGAGGTGGGGAACGGGGGTGGCGGGTGAATGGTTTTGTGTCCCGTGTCCGGGATGGTTTTGGGTCAGCACGGTTTGACCGCAGGAGCGGTCGGGGGGAAGCGGCAGGAAATTCTGCTGGAGTGTTTGCCTCAGCTTCGGGGTTAAAACAAAACAAGATGCGAGTATGTTTAGGTGCCGAATACACACCCGAGACAGACCCCGCCGAGTTCCTCGACCTCAGTTTTGTCTGATGGGTTCTTTCCTTTCTTTCTTCTTTTTCCTTTCATTTTTTTTTCCCTAGTTGGTGGAGTGCCTCTTGGTATGTTTGCAGAGCACTCCTTCGGAATCATTTTGTTCTTTGAGATAGGTCTGGAAAAGCCTCGGTTGGACGTGCTGTTTTTTCCCCCAGTTCTTTCGTGTTAGGGACAAAAAAAAAATGCTGTTTGGGGGGTGGGGAAGGAAGAAGGAAGAGGAAATGAAGGTTTAAGCATGTTTGTGGAGTCGGGTCTGTCTCAGTTCAGGTAACTCTGGGAGTGTGATTCGATGGCTTTTAAGTACAAAACGTTTATGAACAAAAAACCGGGGAGATTTAAACTTTGTAGGGAGGAAAGCGTTAAAGTGATGGCCAGGGAACGCGGATCTGGGAGACGCTACTTACGTCCCCTGCTTCTAACTAGTGGAGATAGAGGGAATGAAAAACTAAAACACTGGGGAAAAATACCCCTGCAATTTGTATAAATGATGCCATGTAAAATACCGGAGCTAGGAATTGTGCTCTGCAGACAATTGTTGGGCTGGTGAAAGCCTGAAGTGCCTGCTCGGGTCCCGTGATATGACTCGCTCATTTCTGCAGGGCTCATCAGGTACAGGCTCTGCTTCCTTCCTGGGATGGTGCAGCTGGCATTTGATTTCCTCCGTGGATGGGAAAGGAGGAGTCCTGTGCAGTTTTTTTTTCCCCGAGATGATTGCATTTTCTTTGGCCTTGCTGTACCCTGCCTCATTAGTAGGAACTGCATCTATACTTATTTACCATTATACCGTGTCCCTTGGGAAGCAGGGTGTAGTTTGGAGTAGGTATATATGGATTTATCACTCCTAATATTTTTTTTCCTCCCATCGTGCTAAGACCAAATCCGTCAACAGCAGAGAACAAACTTAATTTATTTCTGTGTTTCGCATCTCCCTTTTTACCATTTCTCTTCCAAATTGCTAAGAAAACATCTCTGAGATGGAGACAGGGGAGAGGGAGGAAAGGGATGGAAAACGTCTGTGCAGGGATGCATTTGTTATTTGCATGTCTGGGAAAGAGCAGGGTTTGTTTCTGTATGTGAAAACTGGGGTTTGGGAATGTTTTTTCCCTTATGTGAGGATTATTCTTTTAGCCCTGTGATGGCCACAACTTTTTCTGTCTGGTTGAAAGAATTACCCGAGGAGCCTGGGAAGGAGCTGGGAGCAAGGAACTTGTGTTTCACTCCGTGCTGCCTGTTCTTCCTCCCCTCGTTCCCTCAGCACCAGTGCAAGCACCAGAACAGGCATCAGCATTTTTACTCCTGTGTCATCCCACTGTTCCCAGCAGGTCTAGACGACGTTGTGGTATGCAGGCTGCCAGCTGGGTTACAGGAATGCTATCCTAGGTGAAACAGCAGGATTTTTAAGGAGGGGTAAGGAAACCTGGGAGAAAATCCTGTGTGAATGAGGCCTGGTTTTCTCTACAACTGCTTCACTGAGCGGTGTCAAGAAACTCCGTGGGTTTATTGACCTTTCTGGACAACATGCATCTCTCTAGCATTGTGATTCTGATAATTCCATGGAGTCTGTAGCTGCTGTCAGCTGCAGGGAGCTTATTTTTAAGGCAGTTTCTGTGTGGGTCTTACTGATCTCTTACAAAGGGATATTAAAAGTTGATAGCTGTGCAGTGTTTTGAAAATTAAATTATTATAAAGTGTTTACTTTATAGTGATGAATCCATAGGTTCATGGGAGTGTTTGGTATGTTTTTTCATTGCTGTCTGGATTTGGGAAGAGTGAGGCTCTGAAATTTGTTTTTAATACTAATTTACTTTTTAATAAAATGTATTTTTTTTAAGCGTGACTGTCAAGAATTGTTCTGTCGTTCACTTTTGGGATTGCTCATTTTGTGTTGTGTGTCAGTGGGGCAGGGGTGAAATTTGGGTCTTTGGGTGGAGAATTGGGAAAATTAATGAAACTGAACCATGAGAAAGGAGGAAGCTGTACTGTTCCTTGTACCAAGGGATTGGGGAAGGTATTTGGTTGTATATGTTAGAAACCAAATGAATTTTCAGGAAACAGCAGCACATTTTAATCTAAAGAAAGCAACTTGTACTTCACAGCAATTTCTGTGCAGAGCTTTTAAGGACATTACAGAATGACAGGCTACAGTATTGGCATCTGTAGCAAATCTTTTTCATCTGCAAAGTTTTAGAATTTGAAATCAAAATAATGTCAGCTTAAGAATCTCACTGCAAAAAGACAGATGTCTTTGTTCCTCCTGTCGATAACTTCATGCAGCTTTGATTCTAAAGTCCCTGAAGTTTATTTCACATTATGCTGATTTTAACAGAGCGGGGATTGGATTCTGCATACATGTCCTCATGGGATTGGGCTTTAATTATACCTATGCTGATAATATGATCTGGTGGGTTATCAATGCAGTGAGACCAATACTGTGATTACAGCAGGATTTTTAGGACATAATGAGGAGAATTTGATTTTTTTTTCCAGGAGGGGGTCAGTGTAACTCGTAACCCTAAAGCTGGTTTTATTTGTAGGATTAGTAATAAACTATATTTTAACATTCTAATATTCCTGTATTGACTAAAGCTCCCTTCTGATTTGTATTAAATTAGGATGGCTGGGTAACAAAGTGTACTAAGAGTTTGTGTCTGAGCACTCAGTCATGCAAACGGGTTGTGTGGTAGCTGTGAATGCAATTCCCAGGGTTAATGCTAAAGATAAGTGTTTTGACAAATGCTTTTAATTTGGGGAACAATGCAAGCAAGAATGACAGGATATGAAAAGAAAGTGCTATTTTTCCTCTCGCAGGTGGCAAACAAAGGTGTAGAGGGATCAACTTGCCCAGGTTCCTACAGGGAGTCCGCAGCAGAACTCGCAATCAGTCTGTGATCTCAAGGGTTTGTCAGGGCTTTAATCAGTTTTTCTTCCTCCCCTCATTAATTGGCTAGCTTTGACATTTTAAAAATAACATCTAGAGATTATTTCTCTTTTCTCCAGTTTCAAACTTTATCGCCTGAAGTTTTTTTTGTTTTTTTTCTTTCATTTTCAGTCAAGCCTTGAAAACACAAGGTTGGAAAACTTGATCTGAGCAGCACCTCCCTGACATACGATACTATCTCCAAACAGCCCCTGACAAGTGAACCCTCTCATTGAAATCATGTGAGGAATTTTATTACTCAACTCTGAAGATCTTCTGGGGGAAAGGAGGTTGCAAACTATTAACTATGTGGTCTTCACTGAAAGTTGGCAGATAAAATGCTCTTACGTATTTGAGGCTGTCATGTGGTCCACAGCCAGAAGTAGAGAATCAGCTTTGTAGTCGC